GATTCCTGAATGCCTACAACTCAAGAGGAAAGATTATATTTTATGCAATTGTATATAAATTTAACCTTCAAATATTTGCATTTTCTAGAATTGTTCTAATTTCAGATGTTCTGCCCCATTGGTGCCATAAATAGCTCCATTCTTGTCAGAACATAGATCTTGATTTTGAGCTCATGTAGAAATTTCATCTTAAAACCATAGCAGACTAGAACAGTATCAAGGGGACAGAGACAGGGGAATTCACACTCAGTAACTCAGTAGTCAGAGGAGTGAGAGCCTGGCATCCCTTGTTTTCAGGCAGGTGTTTCTTGGTCATGGAACCAAGCTTCCTAGTGCTTACAGCTAGTAAGCACAAGCAGGACATAATAGGAGTCAGTTAAAAATATATATAGTTTCTAGCCATTCTTATTCCCTGCACTTTGCACACACCACACCCTCACCTGGATGCTCTCTTATGCCCTCACTCCCACCCCGGTCCCACAAAAATCTCAAATATTTAGGAGTGCATGCTTTTAATGTTAAAATATTGATAAATCTTGGCTAGTTGCTGTTTCTTTTTAAAATTATGTCAACCCTTTTCCTAGAATATTTGTTTTATTTGTATTTTAACTGTATGTTTCCTTCAAAGTCCCTGACTCTGAGCTACAGCCCAGTTATTGATGCTTTAGAATCATATATGAAAAGAGCGGAAAGAGCCCTCCCTAGGGGAAGTATAACTGCTTTGTTTATGAAGAACAGCATGGGACCCAGGGAAGGGAGGAGACAGAAACAGTGGAAGGTGGTCCTATATCCTTGGTCCCTAACCACGGCTCATGTGTCTTTGCTTGGATGTTTTGTTCAGTAAATATGTAACTATTGATAGACTGCCATTAGAAGCATTTTTTTTCTTTCTTTTTTGTGTGTGATACTAGAGTTTGAAATCAGAACTTCATGCTTTCTAGGCAGGTGTTCTATGGCTTGAGCCACACCTCCAGCCACTTTTGCTCTGGTTATTCGGGAGCTATGGTCTTGTTTTTTGTCCAGGCTGGCTTTGACCATGATCATCCTATTTTATGCTTCTTGCTGTAGCTGGGATGACAGATATGTGCTTCCACACCCAGATTTTTCCCATCAAAATGAGGTTTTGCAAAGTCTTTTGTCTGGACTGGGCTGGAACCATGATTGTACTGATCTCAGCCTCCTGTGTAACTTGAGATGACACTGTGTGTGCCACTGCACCCAACTATTGTTTGAGAGGGGACTCTCATGAAGTTTTTGCTTGGACTGACCTCTAACTGTGATCCTTCTGATCTCAGGCTTACAAGTAGCTAGGAATACGGGCACGAGGCACTGGTGCCCAGCAGAAGCATTCGTTACAAATCAGCTCAAGCTGGGTGCCAGTGGCTCATGCCTGTAATCCTAGCTACTCAGGAGGCAGAGATTAGGGGGATCACAGTTCAAATCCTACCCCCAGAATAGTTCATGAGACTCTATCTGGAAAAACCTACCACAAAAATGTGCTGGTGGAGTGGCTCACAGGGAGGGCCCTGAGTTCAAGCCCCAGTACTACAAAAAAAAAAATCAGCTCAAGAAGTGCCCATACAGGTTATACTCAGTGAAGATTTTTACAAATGTCCTGGCTTTTAAAGAGCTCCAGAATTCTCTGAGGATTGAAGTTGCCTTTGAATCACTAAATTACTAGTCACACTATTTGCATTAGCAGGCTGGATCTAGGATATGATCTTTCAGGAGCTGAGGATGTAGCTCAGTGGTAGAGCACTTGACTGGCATGGACAATGCCCTGGGTTCCATCCCCAGCACCACAAAAAAAGTTTTGATCTTTTAGGATCTCTCGCCTCTAACACTTTTCCTTCAGTTTTGAATCTTACTTTTTTGAATCAAAGAAATCCTGGAAGCAACATGGCCAAGGGGGAACACCACTGTCCCTGGGGACCTATGGAGTATTGGTTATATGGTCTTGGAGGAATAGCTTACCTTTTCTGGCTTGAAAAATAGAGTCTACCTGTGTGCATGGATGGTTATGAAAAGTATATCATATGAGCTTGGAAAGGTTCATTCAGCAACTATTTCTTCAATGTCTGCCGTGATCCAGACTCTTTGTCTGATACAGGAACATAACAGTTGCTACATCTTATGCTCTTGCAACTCTAATGGGGAAGCAGTGGTTGCTTCAGGAACAGAGAAAAAACACATGCCTCCCATTTACAGGGAATACAAATCCTCTTCCACATCCTTGCAGGAGGTGATATTTAAGTTTAAAAAATTTCACTGATACTACGGTTGTCACCATGGCTATTGTCATCACTTGTGATCATTTATTCAAGTTCACTGTATTCTGAGGATCTGTTGGGCCATTTACATACATTAGTTCATGTTCGCAAACTAGAAAAAAGGTCAGGGTTGTTATTCTCATTATACATATGATAAAGTAGAACCCCAGAAGGGTATTTAAAAAGGAAATTTTAAAATGGTCACATAGCTGAAAAGGAGTACAGCCAAAATTTAAACCTAATTGTGAATTCCAAACCCCTTGGCCTCCACAATATAACCTCATCATTCTGTGCAATTTCATGGATCAAGGCTGAGACCAATGGGAGACAAACTTCAGCTAAAAAAGTGGAACAATTTTTAAATAGAGTTGTCCAAGAATAGGATAAGCTACCTGCAGAGGTAGTGGGTTCCAGATCACAGAGGTGTCCTAGAGCAAAATGGTGACCTTGCTAAGACATTGTTGAGGCCAGAGGAGAAGCACATGAGTAAGCATCTCTAAGGGTACAGTAGATTATGGTTAAGTTGTGTTATTGAGGTCAGTGTTCCTTCCCAAATTTTCCATGTTGAGTGAGGGTTGGAAGAGCTCTGTGAGCATAGCACTCAGAAGGACCCATGGTCCTTCTGCTTTGTGACCAGACACTGGGAAGTGGGCAATAAAAGGTCTTCCTGGAGTTTTCTATACGTATGACCCAATGGGGTCATACAGTTAGGGATGCATTCAGCTAAAGTAATAAGGATTGTCTCCACTCACTTAGGCAGAAAGATATTTATAGGAGTGGGCTTAGGGAAACAAGCAGAAGCTAAAGGCCAGATTTGAAAAACAAACAGTTAAAAGGGTATTCTGAAGGGCAGTATTGTTGTACATTTTTGTTGCTATGACAACATACTCAAGATTGGGTTGGGGACCAAGAATCTGGCACCAGCATCTGCTCTGCACATGAGAGGGTCTTCTTGCTGCATCATAACACAGCACAGGACAGCACATGGGGAGACAGAGCAAGCATGCTATCTCAGGTCTCTCTTCCTCTACTTATAAAACTAGTATTGCCAACATGGGGCTCCCAATCCCATGACCTCATTCAATCCTCATTACCTCCAAAAGCCCTCACCTCCAAATAACATGAACAAATAAATTAGGGGATTAAGTTTCCAACACATGAATGTTTAAGGGATACATTCAAACTAGCTGGGTGCTGGTGGCTCAGTTTAGGAGGCTGAGATTGGGAAGACTGTAATTAGAGGCTAGCTCAAGCAATTAGTTTGCAAGACACCATCTCCAAAGTAACCAGAACAAAATTGACTGAAGGTGTGGTTCAAGTGGTAGAGAACCTGCTTTGCAAACCAGAAGCCCTGAGTTTAAACCCCACCCTTGCCAAAAAAAGAAATGGCTAGAAAAGTGGCTCAAGTGGTAGAGCACTGTCCTAGCAAGCATGAGGTGATGAATTCAAACCTCAGTACTTACAAAAACAAGTTGAAAATATAGGTTACTTAAAAAAATAGCAGGCAGTGATAATCTTCCTCTGTTCCTCAGTAACACTACCCACTACCTTGTTCACCTGGTTCCAAGTCCTGGGCAGGAGTAGCTGTTGCCTGAATCTGCATTCCCTGCTACTATCCTGGCTTTGGGGATAAAAGAGAAAGGAACAGGCTCATCTGGCTTCCATGGTAGGAGGAAAGGCACAATCACGGCCTTGTTGACTTATAATTTGGAGAAGCAAACTCATTCACCTCATCGCCTCATCTAATAACAGAGTTAGATGCTGGGGATTCCCTAAAGGATATAAACAAATACCTACTAAAGTTAGGTAGGAAAAGAGCATGGATTTGAATTCAGATCTTCCTGATGCCTAGATTAAAGGAAGAGATAAGTCATCTCTGACTACTCCAGCTTCCTATGACCTGCAAAACTTGTAGTCTATGTCACTAATAAAAGACATAGCATAAAATAATAATAAAGTGCCATAAAAACAACAGCACAAAATTCTTGAGTGCTTATTATGTACCAGAACCTGGGCTAAATTTGTTACATGCATTGCCTCGTTAAATTGTAACAATAAATTGTCCTGAATTATAAATGGATGTAAACCTGTGAACATACATTCTTTCTCATATTATTAAGAGGGATGATAGTGGGAGCTGAGGTCAGAGAGGTTAAGAGGGTGGACCACATGGGGCTTTGTAGCCTGTTGTAAAGACTTGGACTTTTATACTGCATAGAACAGGGAGCCATTTGAGCAGAAGAGACACATAATCTGATTTATGTTTTAAGAGGATCATTCTGACCACTGGGTGATAAATACACCAGACCTTGATCCAAGTTCAAGGTGCTATCAGTGGAAGTGATGAAAATATTGTCGATATGATTTGAAGGTAGATACACTGAGTTAACCGTAAGTATGAGACAAAAAGGAAAAAAAGGGACATCAGTGGTTTGGGCCTGAGCATTTATTTCCACTGCTTTGTGTAGAAGATGTGCATGTGTCTAAGGACATCATTTTGAACCTCTGTGCTCAGTGTTTTCTTCTATGAAGTGGGAATTACAACAGTGGGGACATCATAAGGTTGTTGATAGCAGTGAATGTATTAATTCAAGTAAACTGGTTAGAACAATCTCTGAAAAATGATAAATGCTAGTAAGTGACATAGTTACTTCTCTTGTTCCTAACTATGTTTTGACATAAGTTCAGCCTGTCCCATCTGTATTGACTCTTCCTTTGGGTATTGTTTAGGTGCTCTCTGATGGGGTTTGATCTGAATCGCCACTGGCTGGATCCATCTCCATGGGTTCACCCTACACTGCATGGGGTGAAACAGCTCATCATCCAGATGTACAATGACCCAGTGAGTATCTGAATGCCGTCCTCAGCTGCTAGCCTCATGACTTGATCTGGGAAAGGGAAGTGGTATGTGGGAAAGTTCACTGGGAGCTTCAAACTAGGACAACATGGGCAAAACTAGAGAGGCACTGGTCCTGCTCATCTCTGAATGTTACTGGCCCAAGTGCCTCCTCCCAATCCCTTCTCCCTCACCCTTTCAGTTATGGTGGTCTTGTAAGATGAAGGAAATATAGTGGAGTATTGCCATATTTGTCAGAGCTCTTTGCTTACAAGCTAAAGAAATACAACATAGAGAATTTATTAGAAGAATGCCAGTGGTGCACTAGATAATTGAAGACTACAGATTGACCTTCTCCACACGTAGGGAACATGGCTGACAAGTGTCATTCCATGTGACTCCCACCACTACAGTGACTTGCTCTCGTTTGATTGCCCAGGCTTGGAGGACATGCCCACCTCTGGCAAGAGGAGGTGGTCTGAGAGGCAAGGGTATATAAATACAGGACAGCTCTATGGCAACCACATGGTTGGAATAGGGGCTCTGTTCACAGAGAAGAGAGCCCACTGTCTGAGAAGAAACGAGGGGAGCTAGGCAAAAAAGAACATGGGTATCTACACCAAATTTGTTCAGAGGAACAAATTATTGTCAGTGAAAAATAGAAGACAGTGGGGTTTCATAACTTAGAGGCATTCTGCAATTATCATCTCTGAAGAGCTTTCAGAGAGAGAGAGAGAGAGAGAGAGAGCAAGATGGATCTTTTTTTTCAGATGGGGGACATGGGAAGAGATAGTGCCTATAGAGAAATAGAATTTTTTAGCAACGAGAGTTGCCTGATGATCAGTGGGTGTGTGAGTTGTGAGCTTTGCCTTACTAAAAGTGTTCAACTCGAAGCTAAATGACACTGTCAAAAATGGTGCATAGAGGATACTCAATTGTTTGGAAGATATTGTAGCAAAATTACATCTGAGTCCTTTCCAACTATGATGATTGTGATTTTATGACGCCTTAAGTCCCATCAGGTGACAGATGGTGATGGTTAAGACAGCGAAGTTCCCAGTTGGGGTACTTCAGAAATGCCCCAGTGTAACCCATTCCACTTATTCTTGTTGAAAATGCCAATAAAAGTAACCTTAATTAAAGAGAAGCATAAATGTGCAATTAAAAACAAATACCTACAAAGAAAGAGGTAGTAAAAGAAATAAGTCCTTAAGCTCAACATAGTTATGTTTTCTTGACTGTGGACATGAATTTTGCTTTTCTGGGTCCTTTTCTGACCCATACTCTGTGTTAGGGCTTGTTCCCTTACCATTTCTCTCTTTAGTACATTGACTTCTTTCTCAAGTCATCCTTCCTTGTCTACAAAAGAAGCTTCCAACTGTGCTCATCAAATCCCTTTACCCTGAAATCTTCATGCTATGCTGACCAACTTTACTTGCAGAGAATAGCTGCATCCAACTTTCTCCAGAAGTTTCTGTAGTCTGATGAGCTCTCCCTTCTGACGTCAGTGCCAGCTGCAATTTCTCTGATAGAGACACAATGTCTTCTCCTGCTGTTACTTCCTTCTCAAAGACAATAGCCCCTACATTTTTTTTTTCTGATTTGGCTGATAATAGATATTCCATAATATCTATTACGGAAGAATTGAGTTGAATTGAACATGGCAAATCCTGTTATGTCAAATTTATTATGGTTTATTGGTACAAAACACTTATTCACAGTGAGGAGAATGAGGCATAGTGGAAGAACAGATACTGAACCAGGTGGAACAATAGTTAAGGAGCCACTGAACGAAGTGGTGTTTTAGGTGAATCTTAATGAGAAAACTGGTAAGGAACCAAGAAAAAAGGGTTAGAATTGCTAAAGGGAAAGACTTCAACCTGCCATTGCCATCATCAATTAAAAGTTATTGATTTGCTCACAAACTGGGCATTTGTCTATGTTTAATAGATCAGGAAACTTAGGTACAAAGACATTAAATTATTTATGGCATGAATTGATTAATCATCAGCTGTTGGATCTCAATAAGTACACCTTGGATGCTGAGCTATTTGCTTCCTGAAAGTCCACACCTTTATGCCTCAACCAAGTACATAGGGCTCTAATGCAGGAGTCGAGCCGACCTAGAATAGGATCCCGGCAACCTCAGTTTCTTCCTTGCTCCCCTCTCTCCTTACACAATATTTTTTGGGGGGAATGGAAGGTCTTAACATAGTACATGTTTGTTATTTCACAGTTTCCATGGGTCTAGAATATGGGAAGGGCTTAGCTGGGTCCTGTGTTGAGGGTCTCAGAGGGCAGCAATCAAGGTGTGCATTCTTGCTATATTTTCATCTGAGATTTGTTCCTTGTCCAATCTTTTACTCCTTTCTTCTATCCACAAATATTTATATATACCAGGCACTACAGTTCTAATAGTGAGAAAAATCCTGACCCTTGAAATATAGTAGGGAAATAAAACATTGAACGAGTAAATGCTGATATTTTTATAAGCATGTTGGGAATTATTAATAAAGCACAAAATGTGACATAAGCAGATTGGTCCTAAGTCTTGGCCTTGTTGGGGTAGTGCTGGTTTACACCGGTTGTCCTGGAGTATTTTTAATAATGCCCCTTTCACTGTTAAGAGCATAATGGTTTGGATGGAAAATTGTATGTTCTGTCTAGATAAAAGTGATACCAAGGTGCCTAGCATAGTGCTGGTGTGTAGCGAATCCTCAATAAACATTTTCTGGATCAGATTCAAATTCACATCTGACTAGAGGCATCTTTGTGGCCTGGAGGTACCTCTCCTGACCTTCAGTATCACATATATAATCATAATCACTCAACTCCAAGCTTTCTGAACTGTCAGGACAGTTTCTAGACTTGTTGCTTTCTTTTATCTTATTTATTTATTTGCTGTACTGAGGCTTGAACTCAGGGGCTTCACCTTGGGCCAGTCTGCCAGCCCTTTTTATGAGGGGTATTTTCAAGATAGGGTCTCACAAACTATTGGCCCAGGCTGGCTTTGAACCGACATCCTCTTGATATCTGCCTCCTGAGTAGTTAGGATTATAGGCATGAGCCACTGGCGCCTGGCTCTTTTTTTTTTTCTTTTTTTTTGGAGACAGGGTCTTTCTATGTAGCCCAGGCTGGCCTTGAACTGGTGATCATCTTTCAGTCTACTACATACTAGGATTACAGGTGTATGCTATCAAACCAGCCATGGACTTGTTTCTAAATGCTTATAACCTCCTCTCTTCTGTCCTGGTGACCTTCTGCCCAGAGAAATCAACAAGCAAAGATTCAGCAAGATCCTCCATGATCTGAGTATGGCTCCTCACTCACTTCCTTCAAGGTGTTGACTGGAGCCAGGTGGAGACAGCCTTCACAGACAATTATTCTGGGTGCACTGATGGAGGGAGGAATAGGGTGTAGAAGCCCAACCTAGGAGGCAACACCTGATACAGGAGGGATGCTCAGGCAGGGAGAACTTTCCAGGTGGAGGAAACAGTATGTGTATCTGCCCACAGAGAAGCACATTCAGGAGAGAGAAAGTCATTCTGTGTGGCTAGTGTTGGGGGCAGACAGAAGGACAAAGGGAAGCTGTGATGCAAGGACCAGCTGGACTTTATTTTCATGAGAATGGAAGCCGCTGGAGGATTTAAGCAGGGAAGTGACACAATCAGGTATGCATTCCAAAACAACCCTCTGGTGCATGGTAGGAGGATGAATTTGAAGGGGCACAGCCTAGAGTCTGGGGGAATATTTGAGCCTGCTGCTGTTAGAATGAAGAGGAGAGGAATAATCTAGAGATGGTAAGAAGCAATATGAGGAACTTGGTAATTGTGTCCAATGGGAGGGGAAGTAGTTCCCATTATGCCCTTGGTTTGGCTTGGGCTGTGCAGTTGACATAGTGTCTTTCCTGAGATGGGGACCCAGGACAAATAGTGCTCATAGGACAGGCAATACATTCATCATTACACGTACTCTGTTTGAAGTTAAGCAGAAGTGAAACGTCCAACCTGTACCATAAGTCCCAAGAAAGAGACCTTCTTTTTCCTTTTTACCTGGCAATGAGAGCTTGCTGCCCTAGTGTTAGTGGTGACTTTTATTTTAAAGGCTGCTTTCCTAGTCCAGGGCTCTCTAAACTCTTAACCTGTCTTGGGAACATTGACTATTGGATGATGATCTTGAAAAAGAAGAGTTTAACTCAGAGGACTACAACGGAGCTGGGATATAAAGTGTTTCATGTTCCATTTCCACAATAGCTGTGTCTGGGCGGTATAGTTCTTGTTTATCCATTGTGATTGAATGCCCCAAGAAGAAGGCAGAGTCTGGCTAATTTTTCTCAGAGTCCCTGGTACCCTGCAGGAATCTGACTGTAAGCAGGTGCTTGGCATAAATGTTGAGCAAACCCTGAAATAAACCTAGAGTTTGTGTGACTTGCTTTTAGAAGATTTTCCTGAAGAAGAGGAACCATTGAAGTACAGACTCCTCTTCTGTCTTGCCTGACCTCCAGAGAGTCTCCTGATTCCATTGTCACCATTACTATGGCCTCCTTAAATTAAGGTTCTGATCAGGCAACTGAAACCCTTTCCTGGGTTCTCATGTAGCCTATCAAGATTGTCCAAAACTCCCAGGGATAGAACCTGACATGACATCACTCACTCTTGTTCCCACAACACAGGTCTCAGACCACCTTCCCTGACTTACTGCATACCCCACCCCCCAGGCTCCATGCCTGCTGCATTTTGCCCACCATTGAAAGTAAATGTTCTCTAACCACCAAGGACCCTCCCAGGTCCCTTGTCTTCCCCATCCCAAACCTGTCCCTATCACCCAACCACTTCTTATTCAGGAGCTGCACTTAGGGAGCAATCCTTAGTGGTGGTAAATGGCAGGAGAACCAATGCCAGCTCTTATCTACATTCACATCGCTCCTTCCCATTCTGATTTTAGGTCTGAGAGGTCTACCCCTTCAGTAGGTAATAAGCACCAGAAATAACATTACCTTTCATGTA